CAGTACAGAATGATGACAGTAAATCTTACTATAAGTCAGTTTGTACTAGATCGAGCACATAAATCCACTGAAGCATTCATCTGGGATGATGCACTGAGGTTCAGAAAACCTGACTATGGTTTTCTCTGTGGCTTCTTGGAGCATTTAGGCATGTACCAGAATTAGGAACCAGGACCAACAGCATCATCCCGGATGGGCAGGCAGCCTGAACACATTAAAGGGATCAACCTACCTTTGGCTCAGAAGCATCGTGCTTCTGAACAAGGAATTGTTTTCATTTTCATTATTAATATACTGCATTGCTCTGAGCTCCTTAAATTGCTGTTCTCCTGAATGCAGTCCTTTCCCTCTCCACCCACTCACACCTGAGAATCAGGTTGAAATATATTAGTCAAAGTATCTTGGAAGAAGATTAAAAATCCTTCTCCATGGCCTTCCTTTCTCCCAAAGCCATCTAGAGATAGATTTAAGAAACTAAGACATCTGTATCATAGCCTTTCTAGGACTGAAACAAAAATGTCTCCCCACTTAACCTTGGCAGACAAGCCTGTTTTTGATTTTCTTCACTACAATCCTGCAAGGCGATAATAATCACATGACCACACAGCTAGACACTGTCAACCCAACTTGGTATATCACCTTTCTAAACACCTTTGCATAAGGAAGAGACCGTTTCAAACTGGGTCACCTTGTCTGTGGCTATTTCTGTGTATGAGGAAAACTGGGGAGAAGCTCCCTGGGCCACCTTTGTTTCATATGCTTTTCACTGGACAGCCTTTAAAATTGTCCCTAAAATTATAAGTTCCAAGAAAATGCTGATGCCTTCCACTGTATCGGGCAGTCAGATCTCTGGTCAAACTGTGGTCTCACCTCATACCCAAAGCTATCGGTTATTTGTCCCTACCCACTAATACTGAGTATTCTACAATTTAGTTGTTTTTTTTTTTTCAACTAAGCTGTTTTGTTTACAGTGACAGGCTCATGGTAGAACACAGATGGAATCAAATGGACCCCAGTGCATATGGGTAAGGAACATTGGGATGGAAGTCAGAAGACCTAGATTCTAGACCAGCTCCACTACCAGCGAGCTGTGTGACAACAGAACAAGTTATTTAACTTCTCTGAATTTCATATCTCCTCCAAGGTCTCTTCCAGTTTTAAGATTCTCCTATTCCAAGGATATCTGAACTCATTATCACTCCAGAACTCTCCATATCTTCTGTTTAAATACTGTGTAAATAGTTTTATACAACTTCTGACACTGAAGTCACAAAAAATCAGTATCTGATTCTTTCTACTGTTGAATTATCCAGTCATGGGCTGTGCTGCCAGGGAGTAAATTGAGGCCCTGGCACAACACAGATTCTGCCTGGACTTTTTGAAAAAGCCAGATGGTACCACATTTTTCAATGCTAATGGTACAAATTCTTCCCTATGCCAATCTAGTAGAAATTCCAATTTCATGTCCATCTTCTGTTCAGGCAGCTGGACCAGATTTATTTTTTTTTAAAGATTTGTTTATTCGTACAGAACCAGGGTACAGGTCAGAGATGTGGAGGGTGAGAGGCTTCACCAGAGACAGACTGGGGAGCAGAACAGGCAGATCGACGAAGTACACTGCTGAGGGGAACAGCGGGCGGGTCAGGAGAGGTCTGCCATGCCATGTGGTCACCTCTGGGGCAGGGGGGAATCGAACTCATGCAGAAGTGGCTTTAGCTTCTCAGTGCAGTGCTTTAACCCGCTGCGCCACCAGGGTAGGCCTGGGCCAGATTTATACAAAAGAAATACATAAGCCTTGAAAACCTGGATCTTCTCTAGGATAACGTCATTGCCCTGGATTACACATCTTTCATGTTTTAAAAAAAAAAAAAGGCTTCCCAACCTTCAATCAGCTTCATGAGATGGGGGAGATCCAAAATTCCAGTGCCAACAACTGACCTGCATGGGTGTTGGGGTGGCTGGGGGGGCAGTATTCTGCTTGTTATAATTATGATACTGTGATTCAGTATCATAATGTGGAAGCAATGTGAATGAACCAATTCTCAGACCAGCTGTCAAACACTTGGCTTGTAATAACCCACTGTCATCCTACATGCCCCAAAGTGCTCCTAGATTGACAGCTCACCAACTATCAGTAGTTGAATGTTTTCTTCCATTGCTCTAATTCACACCCTGGGGAGCCTATCTGAGGATTTTAGAATGTGAAAGGGCCCCCCATGGAGGCTGTTTATCAGCTGGTAACCTCCCAGTGATTTGAGAAGCAATGACTCAGCAGCCCCGGTTTTTCTTCTTATAGAGTCCTCTGTGTGAAATGGAACATAATCTGTAATTGTTCTGTCCCTTTGTAATGAGGCCACTCCTGCCTATGGCCTCCAGGGGTCCCTGTTCAACAACCTCTTAAAACCACTGTAAGAACTTTTTATAAAAATTGTCAAGAGCTTTCACTGACATCCTTAGATATTATTTTAGTTCATGGTTTTTCTAGAGGAAAGGGCCTGTCTTTGTGTGGAGAAGGCTGGGCACTTAGAACATCAAGAGGCATTGTCAATACGCACTTTGCCCTTAGAGAATAGAAGAACTGAGGGGGAAAAAAGGGCTTTGCTTTCAGTTATAACAGAAATGTGAGGTTGATGTGAAATGCAGAAAAGGAAGTGGGTAACAAAAGTCATTCCTATTTATCTAATACAGAACTGGTTTTGACCCACTCCACAGGACATATTTCCATGGTCACAAAGGTCAGGAGGCAATCACAGTTTGAGAGCATCTAGTTTCTTTTTATCGATTCTGTTTTTTTGCTGCAGTCTTCTGAGGTGAAGTGAGTTTCCTTAGTAGATTTTCCTAAAAATGTAATAACCATCTGTTATCACTTTATTTCTCTTAAATTCTCAGGTTTTGTGGGTTCAGATCCAAAATAAAGCAAATGTTGCAACAAAGCAAGTCACATGAATTCTTTAAATTTCCCAATGCATATGAGTTCTATTCACCCTATCTGTAATTATTAAGTGCACAATAGCATTATACCTTTTTTAAGCTAATCAATATACATACATTAGTTAAATATGACACAGACATGAAGTGATTGCATCAATTTGTAAAAAATGTAATATCTAAAGTTCAAGAAAACAAGGTATGCCTGGACAATTCTTGTAAACCGGCCTTCTGATTTTTGTCCTTTTCTGGGGCAATTTAGTAGGAGGAATCAATTCTGAATCAGCTGAGAAAATCAAGTGTCTGGACCTGTAAGGCTAAGTTTTGAAAACCTAGAATTTGAACAATCTTATAAATTCCCCAGCTCTCCTTCTAGCAGCTAACATCTCATGACCACCACAATAATCTCTTTTGCTCAAGTCCTTTATTTCCAAGGAACATTGATCCCTACTTCATCCTAACTCATATCCTGGGAGGAAAGGTGACATAAATGCTAACTCAGAGGCTATGAACTATAAAGCATAGCCTAGCTTGTGGTAAAAAAAACCTTTCCTCTAGCCTTTGTCACATGAGATCCTCAACTATTTCTCAGATTCTAGAAAACACCAATAAACTGTTCTGTATACTAATAAGTATCCTCAGTTATCTTGTAGTGCCCCTCATTTGAATCTGTGAAAATTAAATCTAAAGAGATTAAGTGACTCCATCGGGGTCACTTAGCAAATTAATAATGGGACCAGGACTAGAGCGCAAGTCATGTGACTTCAGTTTTTCTACTGCTCCACTTTGTTTCTCTGCATTGCTCTGGTATTTATATCTGCTGGTGTTGGGGCACTGAGATGATAAGAGGTGAAATGAAAAATCAAATGAACTGAGGTTGTAGGCATGACATAAACAGAGAAGGCACTCTGAGTTCACTTTGCTTCTAAATGAATCTAGTTTAGTGTTTACAGAGAACAATTCATTGCTAACTAAAAATAGAAATTCTCTTTGCTCTGAGTTTTACCTCACCTAAGAGTGTGTCTATGAGCAGTATCGTACATTTAGCTATAGCTAGGTTAGATTTGAGGATAGTTGGGAGAGAGGCCATAGAAATTACTTAGTCCTTCCTGGCCTGTTTTTCATGAGAACCCAGTTCTCAAATGATTGTAGTAAATGCAGAGAAAGAGAAAATGGCAAGAGAGAGGAAATATTTTCTGCTGCCATATGGAAAAACAGAAAGACTGCACATTGAGCTAATAAGATCTGAGGACCACTGTTTATCCTGGGGGCACAATTGGAAAAGACAAGTGGCCTGTAAGAAATCTGTAGGAAGGAAGGCAAGAAACTCATCTGTGCATGGTTACCTATCGATCAGTAACTGACTCATGAAGCTTTGTGTACTCAAGACAGGCCTCCTTCTTTGCACCTCCCCTTCCTCTTGTTGCCTGATTCATTCTTTGACTTTTTGTTATCATATAGTTTCCAGTGCGCAGAAATGGCCAGAACTATTGTAATATCAGCCTTCTTTATCTCATGAAAGCATTCTTCTGGTAATGATTTATTAGAGAAGTCCCTGCTACATGCTGTACACAGAAGTCCACCCTTAAATAGTATGTTGATTTTCACTCTATAGAATTTTATTGTGGTAAAATATCTATAATATAAAATATGCCATTTATCCATTTTTAAGTCTGCAAGTCGGTGGCTTTAATTATATTCAACCATTACACTATTTCCAAAACTGCCGTCACTCTAAACAGAAAATCTATGCCCACTAGCCACTAACCCTTCTAATAATTCCTTCTCCCCCGCTCTGATAACCTCCAATCTACTTTCTCAATGAACTTGCTATCAGACATTCTTAATTAACTACTGCTACCTCCTAAACTGTAGCAGCAGTTAAAAAAAAAAAATAGAGTGGAAAGTGAAGTAGAAAAAGACTAAATTAAATTACCATTTTCTTAAATATAACTTAATACAATTTTTGAAATATGACAAATACAGTTGAAAGCTTTTATTGTGATTGTAGTTTTATTCACCTTTCCAAAAATGAAAGTCCTGTGCTGATTCAGTGTCTTTCTTTCTTTCAGTGACCATGCAGCAGGTGGCCAGGACAGTAGCTAAAGTGGAACTCTCAGACCATGTGTGTGATGTGGTGTTTGCGCTTTTTGACTGTGACGGTGAGTGGGACCCCCTGGCGTGTGATGGGAAAGCCAAGTCTTACTTTTCTTGAGGTAGACATTGTTTATAATGGAGGCTTGCAGACAGCACCAGGGGACTGGCCTGCACTGCTTCAGCTTATCACCAGCTCAACCCTCAGCATCATGACATTTAGAAGTATACCCCTGGGTCCTGGTTTGTGGTTTCCATTTCTTGTGATTCCAGTTTGCCTGTAGGCCTACAATAATATATAACCGTAGGACCTTCAAAGTGGAAGCAAAATATTAAGTTCAGCCTGCTGCTTTGAAGAAATACTTGAGTATTTGATTTTCCTGAAGAACATGGTACTGATCTCTCCACTTCCCAAGATACATTTTAGTCACTCACATTTCTTCTAGCATTCCAACTCCACGCAATGACCTATTGTGTCGTGATCACTGTATTTTAGCCCATTCTGCTCTGGCATATGGTTACAGGGCAGGGAGAGAGGCACCCAGAACCTCCAAACCTGCCTGTTCTAAAGAGGTTCTGCCATCTGCTGCATCAAGACAAAGCATATAACCACAGTGTCCACACAAGGAAATGAAACTCAGAGAGGTTAAGTAATTTTTACAGGATCACAAAGGGAGTCAAAGATGAGAAAACTAGGATTTGTAATCTAGGATTGAATCAGGACTGTGCTGATTTCTCCTGTTCTAGTCTCAGAACCAAGATTCATTGTTCATCTTCCAAAAACCAGTTCAAAACCTTTATGAAACTTCTGTTTTATCCCCAGCATAATTAACATAATTAATCACTCTGTTTGTTTTTTTTTCAACTCCTTCCCTTAGTTCAATATGTCTGTCTTGCTAATTTACACTCTGTCGCCATGTGTCTGATTTAACCTCCCAAATGGTGAACTCTGTAAGAGTAGTTATAAGTCCTGTTTACCTTTGGACCACTAACTATTCCTCCCTCCCCAACCTAATACCTTAGATAGTACTTTGCACATTAACAGGTGTTCATTAACTTACCAAGTTAAGTTGAATTTGAATTATTTAAATCTCCAGCTCACCCCCACAAGCCAAAGTCTGAATCAAAAGAGACCTTAGGTCTCTGACAAAGAGATGGATTTCATGCACAGGTAGGGTAGTTTTGAGTTTTTTCCATAAAACGTTTATTTTCATAATTTTTAAAAATAGTATGCTAGAGGTGGCTGTGAAATAAACGTGAGAATAAAGGCAAACAGCTCACAGTGCTCCTCTTTCTAGGTAGTCCTAACAAATACTTGATTTTCCAGTCTTTCAGAAAGAAAATCTATTAGTAGCTACTTGGGTCGCCTCAGAAAATCATTAAACATCTTATTTTCTGATCTATAGAAAAAGAAGTATCTATTAAATGTAAAAACCATTGTTATTTCTACCAATGCTGGATCTTAGGGCAGACTGCAAGGACAGAGAATTCTGATTTTCAAACAGACTTGTTCGTCACAGATTTTAGAGTTGTACTCACAGATGACGTGCGAATACAAATGACAGTCTGCCATATTCCCAGTTTGTAACAGAAGCTGTTCAGACTACTCAGCCCTGGCCTTGCAGAATCAGGAAACAAATCTCATCATAGTCTGAGTGAATGACCTTAAATTTTTCCTTAAGCGTCTTTTTGTACAAAATACTGAAAATCTTGAGACCGTTTTTATTCTTTTAACTATATTCTTAATAAGTGAGATGATTAACTGCTTTTCAGCTTAGCCAGGCAATGTTTGAACTAAAAATACAAAAATATTGAAATACACATGCAGAAAAGTACAAATATCATAGGTGTACCATTTGATAAACTTTTAAAAACCAAATACTCTGCAGCCAGCATTATCCAGAAACATCTTATTATCGGACCACGGGACCCCTGGTGCCACCTTCCCTACCCTTTCTCTCTCAACGGCAGCCCCTTGCTCGACTTAGTACCATAGGGTAGTTTCACCCGGGGACAAAGAGGCTTATTTTTCTGTCTGTCTTGATCTTACTCTGAGAGATCTCTGGGGCTGCCCATTTTCTCTTTTGCTAGAAAATATGGACTGTTGGGTTTTCAGGTACTCTCCATAAAGGTAAACTATTCTCTTTCCATTCTCTCCCAAATCCAGTCATGAGCAGAGGTCTGTTCACCCCCCGTAACAGCTACCAGACTTTACAAGAGTGACCATCCATCATCCGAAAATCCTTAATCACCTGGACTATTATTACCACAGTTTTCTAACTGGCTCCCATCCTCCAGCTGTACTACTCTGCATCCACAGATCCCAGCCAGAGGAATGTGTCTGCAATAGAACTCTGACTACATGTTGGTGTTTCACTACCTAAAACAAAAAGCACAAGCCCTTAAGGAGAATTTAAGATCTTTGAGGAACTGTCTCCTACCCATCTCTTTAGTTTACTTGCCGTGATCCCAATTCTATATTTCCAGCAACACCTAATTACTTGTTCTCCAGCAGCTGTGCTGCTTCCTGCCCGTACCTTTGCTTATGCCACTACACTAGCTGGAAGGCCTCCCCCATCTGGCATTCCTTTTTATTAGCCAAATTCTGCTTAGCCTTTAATATTCAACTTCAGTGACACCTCCCGAAAGCCTTTACCGATTTGCACTTGTACCACCCCCAGAGAGGTTATGTGCCTGTAGAACATCCTTTGTTTATCCCATTATGGCACTCACCACACTGTGGAAATAATGTATTGTCTCCTCCAACCTGGGAAAATTCCAAAGAACCAAGTCTGTCTTCTCTTTTTATCCTCAGTACCTCGTACAGGATCTGATATATAATACATTCTCATTCTCAACTAAACGGTCACTGACTTAGAAACATCATGGAGAGAGCATACCAGTCCATTTTAAAACAAGAATTGAATTTGGCTGTAAAAGAGCTGTCTGGACCATGGAGCCCACATTGTAGGTGCAATGAAATGTTCTCACTCTCTTTGTTCCAAGATACTCATGTATTCGTTTTGTCTTGTCCTCCTCTAGGCAATGGGGAGCTGAGCAATAAAGAATTTGTCTCCATCATGAAGCAACGACTGATGAGAGGCCTGGAGAAGCCCAAAGACATGGGCTTCACCCGCCTCATGCAGGCCATGTGGAAATGTGCACAGGAAACCGCCTGGGACTTTGCTTTGCCCAAACATTAACCCAAATGTGCAAGAGGGGCCACCTTCTCTACCCCAACACCCTTGAGGTAGAGCAGAGACTTGGCACAGCCTTTCCTGCTGTCACTTTGGAAAGTAGTGCTTACTTCCCCTGGGAATGGTCTCAGAATCCAGTTTCCCTTCTCCACCCTTCCTGTCCCAGTGTTCTGCTGGGTTCTGATTCTGCCCATTGATTATCCCCACTGCTTCTCAAAAACAACAGTTCCTAAAAGCTGGCACCTGCAGTAGCATTTCACATAGAAGCACCCTATGGATAAAGAATTCAGGGAACTATCTGCAAACCTGCCAACCCTGGGAAACATCCAGTTCCCAACTCATTTTTGCCTGGATTTGTATTAAGAACATTCCTTGCTTTTCCTGCTGCTGGTGTTTTCAAGCTACAAGTTGGCAAAACCTCTGGCAGGCAAGAGGAAGTCTGTGATGAATGATAATGAGAATGACCCAGGCACCCTGAGCTGGCAGGAAGCCTGGGCAAGAGGAAGGATGTGTGTCCTTCCCCAGCGTGGCTCTGAGACCAGCTCTGGGAAAGTGATGTGCACGGTGGAAACGGAACAAGCTGGGAATATAAAGCAGCTGCTCCGTGGCTCTTTCTATTCACCTCTCTTACTCTCAGGCTCCCTCAGAAGACTCCATCTCAACTCTCTGCTTAATGAGCACCAGTGATTGAGTTCATGTTCCCTGAAAGCACCACTTCCTCCCCACCCCCACCCCCAGGAGTGTGCCTCTGAAGCAGAGACCTGGCTCAGAGTCTTTCTGCCCTCTGTCTTAACTACTTGTAAAATATCACTTTAATTATAACAGTTTGCAGTAAACCCTCCCAAAGACTCTTGTTTACTTTATTTTCAGGTCCTCTGGGGTCCTTGCCCTTTCACTTCTCCACTTTACCAGAGTCTGGTTCTTCCTATTGAAAGGTCTTTAGGCCCAACCAAAAAGGGCATTTAGAGGTTAGTGGTGGGGTTGTCCCAGTGCAGTTTAGGTAACATTCCATCCTAGGTGGAGTGCTTAGTCCTTGATTACTCATACTCCACAATAAAGAGCTAAGATGAGAAATCATCTGGTCTGATGGACCTTTTTCAACAATGGTGTGTGATTAACCCAACTCTGCCACCAACTCAATGTGGCCTTGAGCAAATGAGTAATTTCCCATCTGTTCCTAAGTTGCAAAATGACATTATAGGGTTGTGTTTAATGGAGTCTTAAGTTTTTGTACAGACCCAAAAGTGTCTCCTGCAGTTCTCTTCCAGAACCTCTAGGTAGCGTTCCTTATTATGACAGTGTTTTGAGTCTAATACAATGGAGCTGTCACACCAATAATTCAGTGTTCCCTGCAAGCCACTGGCTTTGAATGTTGGTAAGTGTTTTCAGCCTGGATCTTACCTGTGGCTCCATAAGAACAGTGTCAACCCTGGCACTGTGTCCAGTCAAGGTAACAAACTCACTTGTAACATCCTTTCTGGGAGCAAATTAAGTTCACTCTGAAAGTAGTTTGCCACTCACTTACATCATCTATCTTTTGCTCTTGGGACTATATTCCTGGTGCCTGTGCCTTGCTCACTGCTGTAGGTCTGAGGATTAGCCATGGCCTTTCTTGAACTTATCCCAAAATCCCAAAATGACTTTTCCCTGATCCTTGTTCTGTATCCTGAAAGAGAAGTCCCATTGACAGCCTTCATGGCACATCCATTCCTATGCAAGAAGGTATCTGTTGATTGGTCTGGGTTCACTGAAGTTGAAAGCCAACGTTGCATGAGAGAGTAAGATACTCAACCTCCAACATCTGGAAACCTAGGGACAAGGGTACCTTTCATGTGGAATTCCTGCTGAGCCTCTAGGTGCGCCTGAGGAGGTGGAGGAAGAACAGGTACTCAAGAAAACAGCATGATCACACCTTGGCACAACAGAGTAAGTGTGCAGGTGAGGGGACATGCTAAGTCACCAGAAGAGACCAGTGTCCCTCAAGGAAGTCCTTGAGCAAGAAGGCATATGAGTAGGTTAGAAAAGATTTTAGTGGGCAGCGTTTAGGGGTAGGCTGGGGTGGTTTGGAAATAACAAATGGCTGGTTTGTGTTTTTTATTCAAATTGTTTCTTCTATCTAGATAAAAAAAAAACTTCCTATTTCAAGACTCACACCATCCCCTCCTTGATCTTCCAGACAAGAGTCGCAGTCCTTCTTTTGCCTCCCAAGAACCACATGCCCACCCATAACAACATTTCTATCATTCATTGTAATTTTTTGTGACAATGGTACTCAAAAACTTTAGACCAAACTGTGAAACAGTCTACCAACAAAAGCTTAAAGTAAATTTTGGGCAATGTAAAAGTATACTAGCATTACCTCTATAAATTATCCCAACTTACCTATAGCTTGTTTCTACTTTTGTTGTTATCTGTTTCTTTACACAAAAATAATGCCAGTTCTAGCCTTAACATCCTCCAAGAGGAGGAGCAGAAGAAAATGAAAGGAGAGTTACTAAGGAAAGGGGGCTTAAGAATATGCATGATCTGGCCCCCCCTGGTGGCGCAGCAGGTTAAAGCACAGCACTATAAAGCTCTGCAGCCACTGCAGCATGAGTTCAATCCCTTGCTCCGGAGGTGACCCCCATGGCGCAGTAGACCTCTACTGTCTTGCCTGCTGCTCCCCTCAGCAGTATACCTAAGTAGATCTGCTCCCCGCTCTGTCTCTGGTGAATCCTCTCACTGCCCCTGCATCTCTGGCCTGTACCCCAGCTCTGTATGTGTAAATAAATCTTTAAAAAAAAAAATGCATGGTCTTCAAACACATCATCCTAATAGCTTCTAGTACCCCACACAGTTCTAGCTCACGTTGGAGAGTTAAACCAAATCATACTCTTTAAGCCAAAGGAGAATTGCAGGTAATCATCACTGTCAGACAAAGAGGTGCAGTAATACAGGAGTCAGGAACCAGGCCCCAGGTCTCCAACCTCAGCACACCCCAAACAGGGTTATGTGCCCCACAAACAGCTCAGAAAGGAAGGTGGGAGCAGTGGTTCAGTTTCAGGCTTCAAGTGCCATCTGCTGGCAAGAAGGCTCACAAGCCTGGGGCACAACCCAAGAACCTGCGTGAGTCCAGCCTACTGGATCTTGCTCTCAGGGAATTGCAGGGGTTGGGATGGTATGGGCAGGGGCGGGGGTGGGGGGGGTGAATAGCTAGAGATGGGCCATGAAAAGGAACCCTATAGATTTGACTCTAATAGAGAAAATGGGGTTTTTTTTTAATCTCTTTTTTTTATAAGTTTATTTTTACATCATTTTGTACATTTTTCCCCCCATCTCAATTGTAATTCCCGCGGGTTCCCCATCACCAAGTCACCCATGTGCCATCACCATAATCCCGTGCACTTCCCTCTCCACCCCCCCCCCCCCCGTTTTTGGTCCCATTCCCCACTCCACCCCCACAAAATGTCTCTGGTATATGGCTGTTCATTATTCTTGTTATTTTCTCTATGACAGTGTTTTGAGTCTAATACAATGGAGCTGTCACACCAATAATTCAGTGTTCCCTGCAAGCCACTGGCTTTGAATGTTGGTAAGTGTTTT